ATAGAGTGAAACCAGTTTAAAAAAGCTTCCTAAGTACAGCTGAATGACATTATACAGATCATGAACTTAAAATAATGATTTCCAGATTCTGCGCTCGTTCAAGGTTTTTATTTGCTTCTAACTTCTTCTGTATTGAGATAGAAGTTCATGACATTCACAGATGATAATGAATAGGAGAGATTCCCAAGCATCAAGTGCCTAATCATTATCATCTAGGACAAGGGACAAATGCCAGGGATGAGCATAAAGGCTCTTTTATTCCTTTCCTTCCCTTAAGCTAGGAAGATAGAAGTGTCTGCTGTCCGTGGACCCCATTCTTTGTGCCTTTTAATGAAGGAGGGAGGCCCTTTAGAGAAGAGGAAGATATGAACTGCTAAAAAATAAGTCCATAAGTGTTTTGGGTCTTTCTTCTTGCTTTACTTTCCTCTTTTCTTCCTGTTTGCCGCAGATGTATGTGCTGAATGTGGGATGATTCCAGAGTGTCTAGAATTACAAACTCGAGTAGGAAACTGGCAGTATTGCCAAACTGGCTGTGGTTCAGAGATGAAAATACAGGATGTTGATAGGAGCGTTAAAACAGTAAGTTTTGGAAAATGTAACTGCCTGCAAATACTTGAAAGAGTGAAACACCCCAGGTATCATCAGTGGGAGGAAGCATAATTTGATCTGGGGACTCGGGATAGGGAGAGCAGTAACATTTCTCCCTCTTAAATGAGAAGGAATTCACGTCCAGACTGAGATCGCACGTTTTACAAAATGCATATGTTGCTTGCACATCTCCTAGATACATGAGCTCCTCATATTGTTCTTATAGAGGTAGGGAATAGATTGTGTTTTTGTTGCTCTCTTCACTTTTGCTGAGCTTTCATGAGACTCATGTCTATGTAGTTATATAAATTTAGGTGTTAAAATGTTGAATGGAATCCCATCTAGTGCATTGCTCAGACATGTGACATATTTAATATCTTTCTTGTTTCTCTTCTCCATAAAAAGAGAATTATGATAGTTGTTATTTTTTATTGAGGTCTTGGAGGTTCATCAATAAAAAAGCTCTACAACTACCTGAAAATGATAGAGTGTATGCAGGGAGAATATAGGAAGAATATACGGGAAACTGTGGTTGTGGTAAATCTGTTTAGCTTTGTTATGCTTTGCTTGGAGATAGACAGATGAAAGTTCCTCTTGAGGGTTTGCAAAGGGAATTGAACAAAATCTTTGAGCAAATATCATAAGGAAACATTCACAATAGCGGGGCTGTACAATGAAGTGGAATTTGTTTTGTAGCATTTGTGTGTAAAGAACTCCGGTGTTGTAAGAATTGTCGAAATTAGCTATGTGTTTTTAATGCTAAGGGAATGTTTTTATTGTAAATTACAGAGGCTTTTTGTGGGAGGTGGGGGACAAAAGGCTGGTCCCAGCAGGGACCCACTGCAGGATGCCACCGTTCGCCCAGTGCGGACACGGCCGTCGGACACGGCCTTCGGACACGGCCTTCGGACACGGCCTTCGGACACACCGGCCCGGGCGCCTGGAGACTTCTCTGCAAGGGCTGACGCGGGAGCAGCCGCCCCCGTGTCCGAGGGCGGCTCCGCTCCTGCTCAGCCCAGCTGTCCCGTGGCTGCTCCTGGGGGCTTCACTGGACTCCGATGACCAAACTCGTGTCCTCAGTGTGACTAACGCTGTGTCACAGCTCAGACGTGCTGCTGAATCAGGGACTGGGCCATGCTGGAGCTTCGACCTGCTTACGCTATCTGTAGGTCTATGAGGATCCTGTCTGTTTAGCAGCTGGCAGGGGTCACAGTCCTGTGAACTGGTGCTGTTCTTGAAAGCAATCACAAATGCGTGGCTGATAGTTGTTTTTTTCTGGTTAGTTGGGGGTGGTTGGGAAGAAGCACAGTGCTGCGGAAATCCTAAGATTCGACAAAAATGTGAATTTGTATTAATACAGGGTCAGAGAGCGTAGACTTCGTTGGGGATGTCTTTGCTGCTAATAAGCTCAGGCTGTGAGTGACTGAAGTGAAGGAGAAATGTGGAACACAGTTGAAGGCAGCTCGTAAGATTTAAGGAACTGTAACAGTAAAGCTGTCATCGGAACCACCAAATTTACTGCGTAACGCAGACCAAAGGCGGTTGCTTTTTAATTTCCTGATGTATTTTATTAGAGTCCCTCTGTGTGGTTTCCATTTCGCAGGAAACGTGACATCCTAGCCTGCTTAGGGACTCCTAATAAACAGATCAGTCTTGCTCCTATTTGCTCGGGTACTATGGCTAATTCTATTAAGTGAAAGAACAGGGAGCAGCAAGCTCGATTCCAGCAGCTTGGACTCTACATTAAAAGAGCTAAGGAGGTTGTCATGTCTCTGAATCTCCATCTCCCATCAGGTTATTTATTCTTTTTGGTTTGAGTGTAGTTCTGAGCAGGTTTAGTTTATGAGACGCCAGGGTGTCTGCATCAAATAATTAGTTACATGGTTGCAGAAGAAACACTTAGGTTTCCTTTCTGCATCTGGCAGCCAATTCTCATCCCCAGCCTGAACTGAGCCCCTGTCATTCAGAGGCTTCTTTTGTCTTTATTTCACCTTCTATTTTCTGCTGTATGTATTTTGAAAAGATTTTATCTTCACTTCTGATGAATTTGTAAGATTTTCTTTAAGCTGTTCTTTGGCTTGTGTACAGTGGAGAAGAAGATGGTAGTGGTGTAATGGCAATGAATCAATAAAAGAGATTTTTGACTTACCTGTGGGTTATGTGTTGCTGTGCTTTTATTGAAGATGGTAAGTGCAGGTGAAGGCCAGGGGTATTTCTAGTAGACCTTACTATCTGCTGGCAGAACTGCTGGTCAGAAGTTTAAAAAACACAGTATTTACTTCAAAGCTGAATAACTTTTGTGTGTGGATTCAAACAGCTGTAGATTTCGGATTAGAGGAAATCTTTAATCTCCATTTCATGCCCGTTTTTCCTGATGTGGAAGCAGTAAATCACGGTGGCAGGTGCTGGGCCCCAGAGCGTGTGCGGGGCTGGCGGGGGTCCCGCTCGGAGGCTCCCGCTTCCATCCCGCTGTCCCCTGATCCGAGGGTAAGCGCAGTTCAAAGGAGACATCCAGAGCGAGAAACAGATGCGCAGCAAAACAAATTCCTCGGGCTTCCTGTTTTTTTTTTTCCTTTAAAAATATACATATGCATATATAGCAGGATGGTTGCAGTGTTCACTAAAACATTATACTGTTGAATTGCATCAGTATGCAACAATTTTATGTAGCATATTAAATCACCCGTTGATATTTTAGAAATGTTGTTGTCATAATTGTGGGGGAGTATTTATCTCTTTAGTTTTATGGCAGTGTTATTAATGTTGTTACAGAGAAAGATAAAAATTATATGCTGTGTGTGGGACTAATGCTAAGGTTTGGAATTGGCTCTTACAGCACTGATTTACGCTCTTAGTGATTCATGCTCCCACTGATCCGTTTCTCCCTGATTATGTTTATGGGTGTTTCTTTACACAGTTAAATAAATCCTCATAATTTTATTTCCTCCATAATCGCAGTGCTATACCTTCTTGACACTGTGTTGTCCTAAGGTACCCTTCGCTAATTATAATTTCCAATCGTTACCTGTTTTTTGCTCAAATTCAAAAAAAAAGATGGCATTGGCTACTATGTAAGATTTTATAAATAAATGTTTGTAGAAGAATACAAAAAAAAGAAATATAAAGAGTGTATAGAGCTATAGAACTCTACTTCAGAATAAAAAAAAATTCTTTATTACCTCTGATTATTTACAATTATTTCAAGATGATCAGATTTCCCTGATTCAGAAGTATGACATATTGAAACAAACTGTCTCATACGAAGAACAGTATAAAGTAAAATTCATGACTACTGTGTAGAAGTTGTGAGCCAATTTCTCCCTGGCCTATTCTGAAATCTTCTTACAAGATTTGCGTTTTGAGTAACCAGGGAAGAGTTCATGAATATTCTTTAGAATTATTCTTGAGAAGAAAATGCCTTCAGGAAAAAGTCAGTACTAAAATTACTATACAACATCTGAATAGCAAAAAGGTCTTTTTAATTTACTAATATGATTTTAATTAGAGAAATCGAAAGGTTACTTTAATTGCCTTACTGCAATTAAAAAGAAATTTTCAATTAAGTCTTCCAAATGCCAACACCATGAATTTGCCATTCCAGGATGTATTGTTGCCGTAATGTCTTTAAACAGATTATTATTCTCAAATAGTCCATGCATATTGAATTGTCAATGTTCAAATGAAACCGTAATCTAGTTGTCTCTTAATTGTGTTAAGCAGTTTTCTTTTTAAATTACATTAAAAACTGTTTATCTTATGCAATTTTCTGGTTTCCAAAGCCGGTTTCTTCAGGGTAGCTTTTTTGATGCTGTTATCTCCCATTTGTTTTCCATCAAGATCTCTTTTTACATTTGCTTTCCCCCTCGTAGTCTTCATTTTGCTGAGAATACCAGTCCTAACAGCATTTGTTTTGTGTAATGAATATCTCTTTCCAAATTTGGCATATATTTGCAAAATAGTTAAAGACAGTTAAGATAGTTAAATCAGTTTGTCGTTCACCAACTTCTCTGGGAAACCATTTTCTTCACACCGTTGAAAAAGCAATAACGAGCCCCATTGAAACTTGTTCTTTTTGAATGTGCAGGTACTGATGCCTTCAACTAATTATTTGTGCGATACTGAGTTTGTAACTTGTTTCTCTCTTCTCCATCCTCTTGGTTAGTTGATAGCCCCTTATTTGTCTCATGGGTTACCATTTGGGTGGAAAACTCCTCAGAGCATGGATCGGTTGGGACCTGACGTAGTTACGGGCCTGTCATGCAAGGGTTGTTGGTCAGAGTTTGGTTAAAAACGGGGTAATGCAATGCTTGAAAATACAGATTTCCAGCAAATAAAAGCATGTGTTTTGTGCAGAGGTATAGTTCTCATTTCTGCTGTTGTAAATATAACACCCGTTTTTCTCTAAATTGCAGGTTGTGAGCCATGCCTTTGGTGAAAAGGAACATCGAGCCGCGGCACCTGTGCCGAGGGGCCCTGCCCGAGGGAATCACCAGCGAGCTGGAATGTGTGACCAACAGCACCCTGGCTGCCATCATACGCCAACTCAGCAGCCTCAGTGAGTACCTGCAGCTCCCTGCCAGTGCTTGCTCGGTTAGGAAGAACTCCACAAGGGAGGGCTTTGATAGGGCTGTTTTTTAACAGACAAAATATGATACAGAACACTGCCACTTATGTAACATGCTAATATAATGGTATTTCATTGCTTTTGTGCTCTTCTATATTTGGTGGTTTAAACAAGCAGAGGTCCTTTTAGATTTATGGGGATTGAAACTGTGACACACAAAACCTCCATGTTTTTCCTCAGGTGAGAGTAGTGGGTGCAGGAACCATGGTTGGCACTTGAGAGGTGGGTTCTTGCCTTTCAGTAGGAGATGAGTCAAGCTCTTCAGCCTTTTGGTGTAAAATGACAATTTGACTGAAATAACTTAGTTTGTCTTAAGATGTTAGGATTTCTTGGTCCTTTTCTTCATATATATGTGACCCAGTAATATGAATCAAATTAAGCATATACATCAAAGTGGATTTAGTAGGGCAGTTGAGTTTTCTATGCAAGTAGCTTGAATGATGAGCACCAAGGTATTAAAAGTTATTTATTAGAGGCTAGTCTTGAGCAGTGTAGTCTATTTCTATGCTTTTGTTAAGTAAAAGAAAAAGTGTGGTATACTCAGAAGGTTTTTTCATAAGGTGGCCTGTGGTAGAAAGAGGTGTTATTATGGAAGTGCCCTAATGCCACGGCACTGAACCGATCTAAACCAATTTGGTCCTTTCGTTAACATCAGAGGGGATGCCAAAATTGTCTGGTGTTGAAGAGTGTGTTTTTTCCTCAGTTTTGGGGAGACAAATCTCCTGCAACAGCTCTGTATACCAGTGACCAGCTTCAGCCACCTTTAAAAGAGGGATAAAAGTCTCAAAGATAATTACTTATTTTCAATTTTAAGGAAAAAAGCAGTAGCTAGAGTGGCGGAGATTAAATTACTATTTCTGCTGAAAAAAAATAGACAAAACTTAGCTGTTAGCATAGTGGTTCGCCTGAAAAGACACTGCACAGCGCCAGCTCCTGCTGTGGCTCTCATTTTTGGCAATATATGAGGTTTTACTGGTTATAGAAACCACTATGGTGGCCACTTCATCATCTGTGATGCTGTTGGTATCAGTGGCCTTTGCCATTGCAGGGCTCCTTGCAGAACAACCTCAGTGGTACATGTTTCAGTAGATTGAGCAACTAGTAGTCTAGATTGGGCCTTGGATGTTTGGAAAAGAAAAATGGTATTTCTCAGTGAATAAGAAAGGAGATTTCCTTGGAGAGTGCTGAACAGGCAGCCATCGTGGTCTGTGCTGGTGGCCAGTGTGGCAGAGTGTCACCAAATGTTTTTCTGTTGCTTCCTTTTGATTCCTTCTAGTTCTTGTGTATGAGAAGCAATGAAAGGTAGTTTTCTTTTGCAGTTCTCCATAATATCTGCGATTTTATAAAGTATTACTATGTCCTACTAGTGATATCTCTTCCAAGCTGAATTTTTGTGATCTATTAACTTCCTTTTTTTTTGAATAGAAACCACTTGGTATTTCTGCTCATAGCTATTTCTGCATTGGATCTTTAAAGGTTTTTTTTTTTTTTATTGAGGTGGAGTCTTGAGGACTTTGCATCATAATCAAAATGTGTCACAGTGTCATTTTCTGTTTTGTCATTAGTTGGAGCTTACAAAACTTTGATTTTTGATTACTGCTAGATACTGAGCTGAATTCTCAGAGAAGTTTCCAAGTGTATCTCAGATCTTTCTTGAGTTAGTAATTTGGAATCTAAAGATTAATAAAGATTAGATGGTTGCTGTATATGGCTCTGTGCCATCTTAGCAGTCAGTTGCTCAATACTGACATCCTCCTTCAAGCTTCAGGAAGCTCTGAGAAGCATCACTAATATCTCCTCTTCACATTCAGCCAGGAATATATGATAAAACCTCTTTTTAATATTTTATAACATTTACCGAAGTATGGATACACCCTTGTTTTTTTTTTACCCTGTTAAATCTGCTAGGAATGCCCATCTCTCCTTTCTCCTGGTTGGGCCTTGGGGCAAATATGTGCCCTAGCTGTGTATTCAAATCCTCTTATGCCTGTGGCTGAGGAACTGGCTATTCACCCAATTTATGTCCTCCTATTTTCCTGTAGCAGATTTCACAGCTCATCAGAAGTCTCTTCAGACAACCCTGACATACTGTGTTAGTGCCAAGTGGAAGATCTGTGCAAATAAAAGATGTGTCCTTGGTTTGAACATTTCTATGGGTGGTTTTTACTTATGAATGAAGTCTGCCAGCAGGCTGCACTCTATCAGTAGAAGCTGGCGTGTTTGCCCAGGTTTTGCAGACGACCCTGTTTTCCCTGTGCTTCGAGCCAACTGGGCGCCAGTGCTCATGTCCTGTGTCCTGCTGGGAGCATCCGAGCTGGCTGGTGTTCCCAGCTGGAGGCACGGACAGCAGGGCCAGCTCTGCCTCGCAGACGCACGGGTTTTTAATGTTGCGTCCTAGGTCTGCTGTGGTTTGGGAAAGTGGCAGACCTGATTGCTGCATACAAATTTGGCTTGCTTCTCTCTGCTCTCTTTTCAGGAGCCACGAGCAAGTTCCTTTCCAAACGCAAAGTGCTGTCATTGGGTTTTTATTTTTGGCCATGTCTTCAGATTTGGGTTTGCTCGCAGCCAGCTGGCTTGTAGCACAGGCAGCGTGAGCAGGGAGCTGTATGACATTGTGCAGACCTGCCCCCCTTTTATATAGTGCGAAGGATTAACCGGGGCTTTACCTCTGCTTGGAAGGAGGGACTCTGCGGTGTGGGGAGCCTGGGGGCTTTTGCATCCCTTGCTCCTAAGCATGGTGCTGCTGTACACACTGAACACGCTCGTGGAGGAAAAGTTTTGGGGTGATGGCTTCCACAAATACCCCCTAACTTCTGACACTGGCATTCAGTGTGATGGCAGTGAGTCCCTAACTGAGTAAAATATGGTCCCTGCAACAGGATCTATGAGACCATATTCCTGAGTTTTGGATATATGTATGTATGTGTGTGTATGTATGAAAAAGGTAATAATCATCTGATTATCTTTGAAATTTGTTTTTTAAAAGCTGTAAATGAATTCCTCTGTTGGTTCTTTCCTAAACTGATTTCAGCCTGTACATTACCATACTCTGAGGTATGTAATAACCAAGACCTGGTTGGTAACAGCCCACAGCTTTTGCTGATGATTCAACAAGCAAACAAACACGAATCCCGCAGCATGATTCTAGTGCTCACCAATCCAATTACAGTGGGGTGGTTGGAATGCTCTACTGTTTCCTGCTCTGTATTTTGATGAAATGGTCATGTCCTGGATGTATTCCAGCTTCCCAAACCCCAGCTGGCTCTGTGGGGCCATTCAGAACCGGGTTGTGGATCCCAAGGAAAGTGGGAATGCACCACGGAATCACTCGTGGGCAGTTCTAGAGCCATCTCTGGGCGTTGCTGGCCTTTTAGCTTCCATAATGCATGTTCATGTCAAGAAAAACTATAGCCCTTTCAATGCACCGTAAATCTTTCTGTAAGTTTAAATTCTTCCTCCGTGTACTTGTGCTGTGCCAGGATCCTTAGCCAGTGCAAAGGAATGCTGTGCTTTTAGGACTCAAATATGCTAAAAGAAGAGAGCCAAAGAAACACGCTTGGGTTTCTGATCTTCAGGAAAAATAAACAGACCCATTGTTTGATTTCTTTTCTGTTACAGCACTGAGTGTTTTGACTGTTGCCTAAAGATAGCTTTGGGGCAATATATTCAGTGCATTAATGCAGATCTTTTTGTGCAGTATGTGGAAATCAATTGTAATTAGTTCAGATTGTGTCTAGTCTCTGCTAGGGATGCTGTAAGTGGTGTTGCAAGTGATGTTCCATGTATTTACTTGAGAAGCACTATTATGATTTCAATTATTTGTGAAATGCTGTCTCTGGAAATGTGTCTCAATGTTTGGAATGGATTTTGCAAGCAATCAGGTGCAGACTCCCATGAAGGAGGTCTGTGGAAGTGCCAGATAGCTGCGTGGCTGTTAATTGACATCAGAACCTACTAGGGGCAGGGGTTGGGGCAGGCACTATCCTACACAGTCATTCCATAAGTTGAAAGATAAGATCTTAAAATGGACTTAAAATAGTTTTTCTGCTTGTTTTTGCATTGTTAAAAATCTAATTTAAAAGGTAATAATATGGAGAACCCTAGAGATGCATTATTTTTTTCTAAAATTGAAATGCTCCTGTTAATGTGAATAGTGTGGCTGTACCTGTGCCATTGCCTCTTCAACTGACAGGAAACTAACTCTCTGTCTTTCACTTAAAAAACAAACAAATCAAAAACAGTATTTAAAGAAGTATATTCACAAAGCACCTTCAGTTACTTATTCTGTCCTTTGTAAGATAATCAGCAAGCACCTTTCTACACTACGTGATCCTAGATCATGCACATCCTAGATCGTGACTGTCCTCGACTGGACATGCTGATCTCTATATATTAATGTGAACTAAAATCCATTAAGATTTGTTGAGGTCTGAACATTGGTGGCTGAAAAAATGCAATACCTGCTGGATTTAGCTGTGGAATTAAAGAGCTTACTTGCCCTCTAGCTTGGAGACAAAAGCCTCTTCGTTCGTAGCAGCTAAATCAAATAGGGATTATAACCAAATCCCAGTCAGTGGCTGGGATTTTTGAGGGGTGGGAGGCTGGGAGAAAATAGGCAGCACTCCTCTCCCTTCCACCTTCCACGTACGTGCAAATCAGAGCCTCCATGCAGCAAAGCACCTCACTTGTATGGATTACTTCTCAGCTTGGTTTTACATTTAGTGGAGAATCCCTTACTGGAAAAGTTCTCCACTTTGAAGTGAGAAAATCAAATTAAATTTAAACTGCATTTTTGTTCACTCGTAATTCAGAAACAGTGTTTTCAGATGCTCTTTTAATTAATATTTTTACCAAATAAATAATCCAAGATGGAGGAATATTTTGTTACATTTTGAAATGTGGATAAACTTTACTTTGCATTATGATCACCAAGTGTTCAAAGGATGCAATTTTGACCAAAGTTTTCATTATATCTGTACTTGTTCATCTAAAGTGTTATGGTTGATTGCAGGACCCAATTTAAAATTTCAGCATAAATGTTATTATTTTGGAATTAACTGTCATTTATGTGGTTAAGAAAACTGGATATTGTTCTAGATATCAGATGAAGTTCATTTTCCCTCTCCTACATTACTGCTCTTCAGGCACAGCGTTTTACAGTTCTTATACCAAGATAAGTCCAACTCATAGGCAGAGTTTTAGAATTTGTCCTTGGTTAGATGCTGAAGGCAGGATTTTACTTTTGCATGGAGAGCAAAAAAGGCAGGTAGATATTGTAAGAGGGATGTTGGCTACAGGAAGCAGTTCAGTTGTGGAGGGAGAAATCTTAGTCAGAAGCAGCAACGTTTAGGTAGAGTAGAAGAAGGAGTGAATAAGGAGTAATGAATTTAGATTCACTTTTTATTGCCTGTTTCACTTGGCCTTCATTTTCGTGTTGACCTTATGCCTGTTATTACATAAATCTTAGCAAGTATGGATTTTTGGGTTTAGGTTTCAGAATTAACTTCAGAAGCTACTAAAGACAGCAGTATCTTTGGGCCTTTTTTAGCCATTGAGGTTGGTTTTAATGCTGGCAGCAGCTCTGCTAATGACGGATTAAAATTTCAAAACCTCCTTGTTTTTAAGTAGAAGGCCAATCAAGATGTTCAAGAAAATAGCTTTGAGTCAAAACTTAGGGTATATGTTGAAATTTTGTCTGAATCTATTGCCCAAAATTTTGCTGAATGATGGGTCGTGTTGTTATAATCCATTATGTAGTGTGTTTTATTTTAACTTCATGAAACTGGAGTCATTTGTTGTGTATCGTGAGTTTTCAACAAAGGGATTTCACTGTCTATTTTTCTCTATAGGCAAACATGCCGAAGACATATTTGGTGAGTTGTTTAATGAGGCCAACAGCTTTTACATCAGAGCAAATTCTCTTCAAGACAGAATTGATCGCCTTGCTGTCAAAGTTACCCAGCTGGATTCAACAGTAGAAGAGGGTATGTAATTGCATGAAAGCTTTGTGCCAAAAGTGATGTTGACTAGACCACAGTATTTAATTAGACAACAATCTCTCTTTTCAAAGTAATTCTGAGCTGATACTTAATCTTGCTTTTTTAGTAAGGTGAGTTGGGAAATATCATGGTAGCAGACTGAGAACTATGTTGTTGGGTCCTATAGCTGTCTTCACTTTGGACTTAGCGCAAGAAGCCGTCAAGAAGTCATTAAGTTACCTTTTCTACAGGACAAACTTTTAACCTGTAAATGTAATAAATCAGAAGTGAGTAAATCAGGACCTTAATAAAAACAAACCGAAAATTCAGAAAAAATGTTTGAGATATTAAAATTATTTTTGAGGGTAGATGGTAGCAAGCTATATTAGTAGCATTTCTCCAGGATCACTAACAGGATCAGTTACAATCCTCTCCTTAAAGAAAGCGTGGTGTTTGCTCAGCACTAGCTGAAATTCTGTAGTTGGTTCTAGCCAGAAACATCATTTCTTTGGATTTCTGTTACATCCTCATTTGCTTATGTGTTTGATCATTCACTTCATAAATATGAGATAAAAACAAAGAATTCAAGTCAGGTCACAATTTGAAAGTACTGACTTCATTTAGGTAAGTAAAACATGTATCTCCATTTTGCCTTAAAAGCTGTAATGTGTAGCTTTGCTTGCATGTGCAATTTGTAAAGTTACTTGTGAAGTTTGGATAACTTCTCTGTTTCAGAAGATTAGATCTTCTGACATTTAGTAAATTGTCAAAAATAAAAGTTTGTTAAATCAGGAGAGTGGGGTAGTATTTACAATGAATATTTAATCATATTATTTTAAATCTATTTAATTTACATATAGTTTATATATTACATTTACAATTTCTGTTATTACTAATATTTAGTAATATAATATTTAGCTTTCCCTTTCTAGCTTGTTTTTGACTCAGCGTCATTACATGGTGGTTGTTTTATCCTGTTTTTTAAATTATTAACTGGTGATATGGCTGATATTAGCACCTTTTTTGCCATCTTAGAAAAGATGCCAAGAGCTATATGGGAGCAGAAACTAAGCTATTATTGAGTTGCTGTTCAGCTTAAGTTTTAAAGGACTTTGAGCAAAACAGATGAAATCCCTACTGGACATGTTCCGTGTTGAACTGGGTGAAGTCAGTCCTCCTGACCTTGAAACAGAAATTTCTACAAATACTATTCCCAGTAGAGGTTTATTTTGTGTGTGTGTGTGTGTTGTTTTTAGCCTCTCAATTGTAATATGGAATAACTTGGTTATTTTCTAGATTTCAGTGAGTTATTAAAAACAATCTTTTGGAAGAGGAAAGGCAAGAAGGGACGAAGTTATGTCCCTTCATAAGATCTTATTTTAAATTAACCTCAGTTATTTTTCCTATATTGCTAATTGCCTTTCAAATTTCCATGCTATATATACAAACTGATGTGACTTTACTGTCAATGGGAAATCTAATTAGCCATCTGGCTCTAGAAATTAATAAGTTAATAATAATTCATTGCAGGTTGGTTGTCAGTAATTCTGAATTTATATTTCTAGGTAGCTTAGTCATTTAAGTAAAATGTAACTTGCTAGGTCAATTAAAAAAAATACTTTAGATTTAATTGCATCAATGATTTCCAACATTCCTAGCAAATTCATATAACCAATACTGCAGTTGACATTTTTTAAAACGAATAATTGAAATTAAGATCTCAAAGGCATGTAAAACACTCTTAATCCCCTTAAAAGTTGCATCTATGCTTTCTTGAATGCATTCATTCAAATGAAAATATAAGAGTGCAAAGAAATACTCTTGAAAAACTGCCTGTGTTTGTCTTATTCGTCACTTATAGTCAGAAATTATTTGTCAAAAATGTCTTTTTCCTATTTCAGAGAAACTGGATCGGGAAAGGAAAACTTGGAATAAAATAGTGCTATTTCTAGTTCTTAATCATTTTAAAGATGCTGAGGAATCTAAGTGGTTTTGCAAGGGCCTCACCACAAATGTAAAAGATATTTGGGAGAACAGTCTCCGTGGGATTCAGCCTTCATCATGATGAAGGCTAGAAGGGTATTTTCTAGGATCTACATAAAACTTGATGCCTTTTCCTTTTATCCATCACCTGTACATTAACTTCTTGCCTCTTATTGTTCAGTTAATATGCTGAATTCTTATAGTTTGTTCTTGAGACTTGACAAGTTAGATGTAGTATTAGATGAAATATCAATAGATATAAAAAGAAAACAGTAACGTAGGGAATATGGGAGGAAAATGTTTGTACTACTTCTATGACTTAGAGTGTTCCAAAAAGCTGTAACAGTTTAAGAAATTGTAGACAAGCCAGTGAAGACTTTAGCTCTTTGTTGACCTAAGAGAGGAAGATAGTATGGAAAGTGCTTGCTGCCACTTTTAAATCAGTGATTAGCATTATCTGGATCTTCTTTGGCTATAATCACTCCATTTCAGGAAAATTATATTAAAAATGAATGAAAGATTAGCTAAAAGTCTGAGGAACAAAGGAAAATAATTTAAATATTCCACGTGAGAAGAAAGATTGAACAGACCAGCATTGCTTGTCGCAGAATCATGTACATGAACAATACAATAAAAATATGTTATTGAACCCTCTCTTTTCCTCTTTCTACATATGTATATGTGCTGATGTTCTTAAATATGATTATGAAAGTTAAATATTTTGGTTTTAAATATATTGCTGAAAATATTTTTCGTTTTATTTTTCGTTGATGAAAATTCTGACCTAAATCATGTAAATAAATCTGTTTTTGTTTCTAATAGTATCGTTGCAAGATATCAACATGAAAAAAGCATTTAAGAGTTCTACAATTCAAGATCAGCAGGTGGTTTCAAAGAACAGTATTCCTAATCCAGTGGCTGATATTTATAATCAGAGTGACAAACCACCTCCTCTGAATATTCTTTCACCTTATAGGTATGGAAACATTAATTGCATACATTCTTCTGCTTTGCTGTTTACCTCTTAGTTGTACGTGAAGAATGATAACAGCAGAAGGGAAGAGGCTGTATTAATTATGGAGACTGGGTTTGTTGAATATTTCAGTGATTTCTCTGTTCATAAAAACAAGTGTTATTATCACACTTACAATCATAAGCTGCACCTAACCCTACGGTCTAACAAAAGTCATCATATTTCAGCATAATAATATTACATGGCAGCACAGGAGCTGAAGGCAGGTGCCAGTGATTATGTGAAATGTGTAAAGAAATTTAATAATAAATAACCCTGCCTTTGGTTTATTTATCTTGAATGCCATATTTTGTTCGTTTTTCTTCCCTCCTGCTGCGTGCATGCACACACCAACACCTACACTTTACCTTTCTTTTTCCTGGCTATTAACTGGTGTTGAAAACAGCAGCAAGCAGCACTTCTTTTTCTGGTTTCTGTTAAATTTTATAATTGCTTGTAAAATTAGTTTTACTTGTCTTTCTTAAGGCTATGAATATGTTTTCACTTTGTCTCTTACATTTGGGGAGGTACTAGTTTGCAAGACTAAGGAAGATAGTTACAATATAATTAACGTTTGTTACGGCTTTAATAGTAAGCCTGATATTTATCTCATGAGGTATCTGTGCAAAGTGTGGACTTAACTTGCAGTAACTTACGTGTAAAATGTTTTAGGATGATATAGGGATGTGTTTGCAGTGTGTTTTTCTGCAGCTTTTGCTTGGAATGTAAAATTGTTTGATTTACAGTTGAAATATTCCCTTGTCCCTGCTCCTTCCAAACTTATTTTATTTTGTTTTGTTTTGTTTTGTTTTATGTGACCAGTTAACACAAGTTGTTTATCAGTGCAGTTATGTCCTAACAGGTGTCTGGATGACAGCAGCAGCCCACTTTATTGTGTTTTCCAGTTTTACTAGGTATCCCCTAGTGAGATATACTTATTTAAATTATATTTCTTGATACATCCTTTGGATCTATTGAACTTAAATTGTTTGTCTTTGCTCTGTCTCTATTATGGTAAAGTAAGTACTAAATTTAAACTAACCTTGAACTATAGCCTGACCAGAGCTGGAGGGGTGGGAGGAGAAGCCCTTGGATAGCTCAGATCTTTGTGGAAAAGAGATCTGGCATCAACGGGCATCAGCGGCATCAGAGGCTTAGGGCCGTGTGAGCAGCCAACACTCAGAAGCTGCTCTCTGTACCCTGCTCTCTTGCATGGTCTCTGTGTGTTGGATTTCCATCAATGTTGGGTGATTTGGGTTCGGCTGCCACCAAAATTTGTGTAAAAATCGACATCGAAATCAATATCCAAATCATCCGTGTCAATCGTCGTCGACAGCCAACAGGATTCTGAAGGCCACTCATTTAGGAAGCGGATTGCAACCCTTGGCCCTGAAATCTTTGCCACAAGCTAAGCAAACTGCAAACTTTAATTACCAAGAATGATACATAGTGGTATATAGTACTTGCCATGTACAAAAAGATTAAGCTTAATTGATCTTCAAAGATGAGCTTCGTTAGTTTAAAAATAGCAATTTGTATAATCTTAGCTTGTGTTCTGTTGTATTTGCAGGGATGATAAGAAAGATGGATTGAAGTTCTATACTGATCCCTCCTATTTTTTTGATCTTTGGAAAGAAAAAATGTTACAAGATACTGAAGATAAGCGAAAAGAGAAGAGGAGGCAGAAGGTAAAAGCAAAAATATAATAGAAAATACATGTCTTATGCTTTCATGTACAATTGTCCAGGCAAGAAAATTACTAGGTTTATACAGAAATTGCTTAGTTTATGTGTGTGGAAAGGCAGTTCCTCTTTAGACATAGCTGTAGATTTTATAGTTGGTTCAGTTTTTATAGCTCATACTGTCTATTTTAAGGAGCTGTCAAATTGAATGTTAGGATAACTGTAGTTATCTTTCAACATAACTTCTTTAATCCTTTGCCAATATCTGCTTATTAATACTTAGCAAAATAGTCCTACTCTACTTCAAAGAAAAAACATATATGATTTAGAAGGAAAAAAAAAAGGAATTTGAATTACCGTTTTCTTTATTTTCATATTTTTTTTATCCAGCAGCATCAGCTCCTGTAACAAAACATGGACTTACTCAGCAATGTGTTTTTTGATGCAGTTTTCATTCTTCTACAGTAACCCTGCTTTTTTAAACCTGACAGTAATAGATAACAGACAGTTTAGCAACAGGAGCAGATGTACTACAGGAGAAATATTCTTTTATATAAACATACATATATATTTTTATATATATATATAGACAAAAAAAAAGATAATACTTTTTTATAGAAAGAGTATCTTTAGTCCTTCTGCAGTCTGTTTAGCAGTTTGATCAGAGATTTATTCTGACGCTGTCAAGATACTTTTAAAAGTAGATTTTAATTTTGAATAAAAAAAAGTTACTGTGTACTTCTGCAGCTTTTTTGCTGTATCCATTTTTTTTTATCAAATATTACAGGGTCATAAGATTCTAGGAGATAATCCTAGGAGAAAGCTTGATGAAAGCAAGGAAAGCTTGATGAAGCAACAACTGCCTGTCTAATCTGACAGGTAGCTACCCTTCTAAAAGGGAGCAGTGAGAAGTAAAAGTTGCAAAAATAAAAGGATTCCAAATAGGATGAACAGGTTGCTGAAAGGAATTAGAAGAGAGTTGCTTAGTTTGTCATATATGCTAAATATAAATGTGCTAACGTATATGATGCCTGCTTAGAAATCAAAATACCGAACATGCTGGTGAAGCTTTAATATTGTGATTTTATCAAGTAAAAATTGTTCCTTGTTCCTGTTGCTAGGCAAAACTCTGGCTGCAGCACTTTTAAGCAAAACATAAAGATTTGGTTTAACCAAAGCATTTAGCGAATTCGTGTTTTTAAAATTTCCATTTTGACAAAGGTATTTCAGTATTGAAGTACAAAATGGAGCTGAAAAAGCTGAGTAAACTATTAATTAATTATCTATTTTAATTAGAAAAAAACTCAGTATGAAGGAAAATATTAGGAAATATTCACTTGCTTTTTTGATATAGTTGTGTGCAAAATTGTACCCAAAAGTTACAATCCCACTATATTCTCAGTATCATATGTCATAGATGTAATCAAAAGTTGGGAAACAGTTATGACAAATTTTAAACCAGCTTTTGTTTTCCAGTTTAGTTTTTCCTGTATTAATTTCATTAATTGTTTCTCTGTGTAAAAATATATAATATATATAATAATAAGTATAGTTAGATAATTACAAACTTTTTTTTTCTCCCAAGTATTTTTTTAACTTTCAAATTGAGATCTTGTCACTAGGGACAGGGTAAAAAGAAAGGAACATCTGAAGAGCTAAATGCTTCATTCTGGTTTGATATTACAAAGCAAAAGAGCTAAGGAAAAAAATGGAAAACTGGTTTTTAAAGACCACCTCTATAAACAAGTTTCACTTGAAAAAAAATGATAGCGTTAGAGAGGTTTTTCATAAAACCACTTTGGCAAAAAATATTCTCAACCCCAATCATATAAAGCCTGGTTAAATGTGAACCCCCCACATAGCAAAGAACAAAATCTGTGCAGGTTGGTGTGATTTTATCTGGTAGGTAGAAATATGTTTTAGCTTTGTAGGCTTGCAAGGCTGTGTGCAAGTTTGCATGTTCTCATCTGGAAGCTTCCGAGAGCTGGAGGAGGTGGATGAAACATCTCATGGACACCCTTAGTTGCTTAATGAACTCTCATTTTCTTTTTTTCTTGTCCTTATAATAGCCTTGACTGGTCATGACTCTGGAGCATTCATTATGTTCTTTGTTTTTTGTGGGGGGGTGAGGTTATATTTTGGATCTCCTAACTGACAATTCATCAAACAATTTTTATTTTAGAGAAGCACAAAATACACAAGTTATTAAGAGATTGTGCAGAGGAAGTAATCTGTATTGGTTAGAATGATATAAACTAGGCATCCAAATGCAGTCCTGCTCAGCTGACCAAATGTAGCTGGGTTTTAACTTCAGCTTCTTGTGTGGTTGTGAAGGTTAAGAATATTCCTTGCCTCAGAGGATCTGTTTTCTGGTGTCATTTTGCTCATTGCCGTAACTGCTTGAGCAACAAGAAATATGTGGGATGTTTCATTCCCTCACCTTTAACTATCTCATTTATTTATTGTTTCAGTATTCATATTAACCAGAGAAATCTGATAGAGACTTTCTTTGATTTGAGTCTTTTAGGTGAACATTTTCTCCAAAGAACATGGTGATTTTAATTTTCTGTAAATTTAAACATTATGGGATAGTCTTCACTGCTCTTCACTGGTAACCTTTCAGTAAGTCAATGTCTAAGGGAAGTTAGGGAAGCACTAGGCTCACACTTTGAGTTTCTGGAAGGCATTGCACATACTTGCTGAAGCTACTTTCTGTTATTACCTGTTACTCTTTATTAAGATGCTTTAAATATAATTTGCTAACTCCTGGTGCAAATGTAAAAATTAACTTACCATTGGATGGCTCTAACTCCGTTTGCTGTGTTTCCTGAAATCGTTTCCTGCCCACAGTTGAATGATGTTCCTCTTTTCCAGCCTAACTTACAGCATCCATTTGTCTACTGCAGCTTCTATCACCTGGCAGTTATAAGGAAATAAATGTTTTATTCCTAGCTTTCCTAAGAAAGTTATTTCTAATCTTAGTTAATTTTAAAGTCTTCAGCTCCTCTAGGACTCTGTTGTCACTGTCCTAGGTGCTTAAAACTAGAGCTGTCGCTTTTCCAAGGTAATTAAATTATCTGTGCAATATACAAGTGCTAATAAAAGATACTGCAAGTTACTGCAAAAAGATAAAACTGTTTGTTAGAGACATTTTCTATTGTTTTTTTTGTGCTGCTATGAGGCCTGCTTCGTTATTTTGGAAGAAATTACATGTTTTAGAGATGTATTTATATTAAACAACAACAAAAAATAGACTAAAAATAATTTTAAAAAGTAGATTAAAAATAAATTTTAAAAGTACAGTTAGGTATGGTTCAAATAAAAGGAACATATTTATTTGTTTGCATACCTACATGTTTTTGTAGGTAACCTATAACAAATATAGGTTATATACTTATTTCCCATAAACACAGAGTAATCACTTAATAGGTGATTCCTATAAACAGTCCCATAAGGACTCCCCATTGTGCAATAGTTATATTGAAATCACTGTCTTCCAAAGAGCAGTGTACCTTGTTGAAAGGCTGATATTTACTTTTTCTGCAAACTTACAAGAAATACTTGCTCTGAATGAATCTTAGAGGATGGAGTTCGTAATCTGTGAGAAAAAAAGCTAAAGCCTGCTTTCAATTAATAAGGGATTATTAGTACTTTCCTCTCAAATCTATGATGAGTAGGTAATGACATCTAAATAAATGGACCAGGATAAAAGCCAGAAATTAAATTAAATTTTGCAGTGATGGAGTGAAGATGATGTAAATCACTTAGCATGCATATATTCAGCCATGGAAATTAGCTGCACTTCACACATTGAAAATAAAAGTGACTGAATCTGTTTCCCTTCTGCTCTGATTCCTAACTTCGGAATCTCCTCCGATTCCAAAGCTTTGATATGAAGAAATGGTATTAAAGGCGACAGCAAAACACAACCTAACCTGAGCACAGAGGAAGGAGATGCTAAAAGAAGTTTGGGGAGGAGAAAGAATGAATAGGTGGAAATTGAGAACCAGGGTAATGGCTCTTGTTTGACACTGATCGTACCAAAAATTGATTCACTGCAGGCTGTTAGGAGTGTAAAGCCAAATAAGCTATTTTGGTATTATTTATCAGTTGTGGGAAACTGTTCATATTTGTCCATAGGACATACCTTTTTCGTCCTTGTTTTGGTGGGACCTGCTTGGCTTTCCAGCTATTATGCCTTACTGTGAAGGTAAAGTTTCAACAAGGAAAAGCTTGAATATTGGCCTTTTGCTGGACTACTTGTTCAGTACAATTGAATATGACTGCAGTTCCTAGCTAGGAATATAATTCTCTTTCTAGAAACTATATCTTTCTAACAGTCAAAAGTCTAATAAATTATTAATACAAAAAAAATCTTTAACCTATTTATTAAGTGGTATTGTAAGGTATGGGTCCTAGAGCCAACATAAAATTCAAGATACTTGTGAATATTGTGGAAGGGAATAGCACATAAATATCTTCTTGAGTTAGAACAGCATCAGTATCATTTATTTGTACTGAATAGTCTGGGTGAGAGTGCAGAAGACATTTCAGAGGTGTGAAAGTGCTGAATCCCATTATTATTGTCATTATTATTATTATTAAACACTTACATTCATTGGGTCTGACATTTGATTGAAAGATTTCAAAACTAAACCCACTGATTTGTTGTGACGCTCTCAAGCTGTAATATGTCACCCAAATATTACTGACAAGTTGTAGAGAGCATTAGGGTCTTGCCTTTTGTATAAGATAACGGAGCAAGAGTGAGGAGCAGCAGGGAGGAATTGGGCTTGTTTATCAGATCTAAGAAGGGAGGGAAAGTTAGGACAGTGAAACTCATTTCACACCGAATTTGAAATGAATGGGATGGTGTTACCATTTCCTTTATGTGTTTCCAGGGCCTGAGCAAATTCAGCATATTCTCATAATACTGGTTTGCAGGAGAACTTAAAACCCTTTAGGACAGTCTAAATAAATAGCATAAAGCTTCCTAACTTTTAAAATCAATGAGTTCTGTCTCTATAGAGGATAAATAGTCGATCAGTATGACACTAGTGTCTACATCTTGCAGAAAAAGGACAAAGCAGTAGTCTTACTTCTGAATGAAGTTCATAACTTAAGGAATCCTTTTTAGTGTAGAAAATATTATGTAAACTCGTCTTCGTCTGTAAACCTAGTCTTATTTTCATGCGCTCTAACTGCATTTTAACCTGCTTTTTCCTTTCTTTTTTTTTTCTTTTTTTTTTCTCTCTCTCTTTGCATGCTGTGTTTCTTTTATTTGAACATTAGGAGCAAAAACGTATAGATGGCACCACTCGTGAGGTGAAAAAGGTTAGAAAAGCCAGGAACAGACGCCAGGAGTGGAATATGATGGCATATGACAAAGAGCTTAGACCTGACAACAGGTTGTCTCAGAGTGTGTACCACGGAGCATCTTCCGAGGGATCCCTGTCCCCAGATACTAGGTCTGTGTACCATAAAGCCATGTGTTACTTTGCAGTTGTGCATTCAGAAATACTGAGTAGATTTAGGTATTTTTATAGGTTGGGAATGTCAGTTATAGTGGAAAAATATGTGATAAATGTCTTACAGCTCTTTTCATAATTCTTTTAAAACATATAATTAATTAATTATGTGATTAATCAATTTTTTTCTTCTTCTGTCTCAGGTGAGCATTCTGTCATCATAATTTAACAGTTATTTCACTACAGTCTACTGCAGTAGCATTTAAATCTGTCTTTACTTAGATAATATCAGTACTCTTTCAGGTATGGTTTGTCACGTGTTAGGCTGCTGATAGCTTAGTAAATATTTTTCTGTGAACAATGACATAATCATTTTCTGGATTTAGCGTCTTTGGGACCCTCAAGTGTTTTTGCACAAGCAATGCACCGGGGATCGCTCGGGTAGTGGGCGCAGTCAGGCTGCTGGAGGAGTTCTGCTTTGTCAGTGTCTGCTTAGGCCACGACAGGAGCTGCTGAGCCAGGTGCATCGTTACTGCTGGAAACGGGTCCCTCCGAGTGGCAGCCTCTGCTCAGAGACACCCAACAGGGCTGATCTCCATCGTCCACTCCCGAATGTGCAGGAGGGTCTCCGTGCTCCGTGGGGGATGCCCCATCTTGGTGTGCACGACACATCCAAGTCTGTATGCAGAGCCAGTCTCTAGTGCCTTTCTCCTCTTATTCTTTTTTTTTCTGTTATGGTTAATTGCTAGCTGAAGTGTAAGGAATAAGCAGAATCTAGGGGAAAACTGTTTCACAGGTTTTGAGTTTGTATTTAAATTGCTGAATAGTTAGGATGAGGAAACAGCCGCTATTGCAGAAGTGTAGACTGATATTGTTAGTGTACTGTCCAGCTGACATTAGTGAAGAAATCTGCTCAGAGCTTTCTCTAACTAATGTTTCAGTCTCTGTGAACAGCACTCATAGTTAAAGCAATAACTTCAAAGAAAATTGCAACTGCTGTTTCAATACTATGTCCAGATTCATCCTCTGTCTGAAATCCTTCAACATCGTTTTGTCTTAGTGAGCTGTATTTTCTAATGCAAATCTCCTTTTTGTCAGTCTCCAAAGTTTGGTCTCCAAAAGCTGATCTGCTGAGATGACATTGGTGTCCAGCTACCAAATGCCTGATGTGGATTTTTTTTTTCCATCTCTGAGCTCTGCTTTTCAAATATTTCAAGTCTTTTTCTGGTCTTAACATCTTGCTTCCAGGGTTCCTCCACTACTGGAAATAGTCACTTTGAAGCGACAGTGTCAAAAATGTGTTTGCTTATTTGCAGATAGCCATAATATTTGCAACATGTAACAGTTTATTAAGCAGAAATTGTAAAGATGCATCATATGTTGGCTCTGAATTTCATCGTCTGACAGACATATTGTACCTATTATAAAACTTCTAAGGTTTATATATGTGAAGGACTTTAAATTACAGGAATTGAGCCCTGAAGTCTGTATTTTATATGCATCAAGAGCTTTTAATTTGTGACTAGTGAAAAAAGATTTTCTATTTTTATCTTGGTGTATAGTCTTCATTGTAGGAACTAAGCTATAAAAAGCCTAAAGAGCAGCATGATGTGTGTAGAAGCAAGACTTGTTTTCAGAGACATTCTTATGCTGACAGCTACTGCCGGAGCATTGTGTTTTAAGTAAGGTCCTAAGGAAATGTCTGTAGTTATATCATGATCTTTTGTGTTCCTGTTCCTCCTAGTTGGATGACTTTAAAGGTTGAAATCAAAGTTTCCAGATTGTGGCAATTTACAATGTATTTGTTATACTTATTGCACTTCAGAGAGAGAAACACAAGCTGAATCCAAACAGAAACCAGCAAATTAATGTGCGAAAAGTAAGAACAAGAAAAGAAGAGTGGGAGAGAAGGAAAATGGGCATTGAGTTCATGAGTGACGCAAAGAAAATGGAGCAGGCAGGAAGCATGAAAGAGGACAAAATGCCCAAAGGGTTTGTCATTTTGTTTTACTCAAAGCCCTGGCTTTTGTTGCTTGCCCTGCTTCCAGGCTCACAGATAAGTGCATCGGTTTTCTCTGCTCACTAAAAGCCAGGCTGCACGATTGTTCATCACTAATACAATACAGCTTTGTGCAGTGATGGGATGAAGAGATCCTTTTGCTCCCTCTCTTGGGCTTATTTGACAGAGCATCCTGGACTTTGTATCTTTATGAACTCTCTGCTCAACTAATATTTACATTTCTCCATTTCTCCGAGCTTTGCCGAAAAACTGTTTGTGCAAACAAAATCAAAAGCATTTTCTAACTTTGGAAATTGATTCTCTCTGCCTTGGTGGAATTGGTACTCTCTGCTTTGGTGAAATATAATCTCCTGCATAACTGTGAGTGCTTGCAGTGTTGCTATATTTTTTCTGCTGTCATTGTTAACTCACAGCCAACCTGATGAATATTATCATTTCAAACAAAGGTCTGTCAAAACCATCCCCCATGCTTCTTTGTGACTACTAAAGAACTCTAAAACCCAGAGAAAGCTTTTTTTTTTCTTTTTAAATTTTATGCTATAAGACGACATTCTGCTGCAGAGTTAACATGCCAAGATATTGCAGTCGTTCGAATCTAGTCCCCTAGTGCTGGTTTGTCAGACTAATTTATTTTGACATTGTATGAAACTGAACCACGATTTTTTGTTGCTTTTGTTGTTGTGTCTTCCATGGGCTGACAGGGGAAAGGTGCTTCATAATGAAGGAGTCATGTAAGAAAAATGATTCCATTCTTAGCTTTGCTGGTGACTATTTAGATAATATCCTGCCACCCCCATATAATGTGTTTTTCTGCATCAATTTAATTTTAGGTCCCATGCATCTGATGTTACAGATTATTCGTATCCTGCCACTCCGAATCATTCCCTCCATCAGCAGATGGCCCTGCCTTCCTATGGAGCAGGAGATGGTCCTCAGTACGTGGCAGCAGCGCAGAGCCATGAGCACGAGTACAGAGCAGCCTCCAGCACGGCGCGACACGCGACCCTGAACAGACCTCAGCAGCCACCTCCACCTCCACCGCAGCCTCCCGACGCGCAGCACGGCCCGGTGCCCGTGGTGCCAGCAGAATATGGGTAAAACTCAGCTCCTGACTTACTCGGTACATCCTTGACAAGCTAAAAGGATGTATATTTTTCATAAAAACCAAAACGTCTTTTGCATACGTGGTACAAAAATGGCTAATGCCTCTAGTTAGTTCACTGAGGAGAACAGAGGAAATTTATCAAAATCTTTATGCATGAACTGAACTGGTGAAAGCAGAAGTCATGAACTGTGTATTGAATGTAGTGAAATCAATACGCTCATAAAATATTAAAGGTTCCTAATGTAATATTGAAAAAGGGACAGTTTTCCTTTATAATGAAGAGTAGTTACAGCATAATTAATTGAATAATATTTCAAACTGCACAAGGTGCAGAATAAGGATCTTTGAATGTAATTGATGTGCTAGTCTCTGTGTTGTATCCCTGGGATCCCTTGGGAAAGGAGCTTATAATGGGATAGGAAGGAATGTCCTCAAACACTGAATCAAGTTCCCTACTGCCACAGATATCTCCATAATTCCATTAACAATTTGTCAGATTACTGTGTAGATGTTTCGCTGAAATTTTGAAGGAAAGTTTGCTCCATAACATTGGTCAGTCCTCTGAAAAGAAGAAATCATTTCTCTTCCCTCCTAACTCTGTTTCTAAGCAGTCTATACCTATTCATTCTTGTGCCAAGCTTGTGCTTTTGGTTAAACAGCTGAAACTTTCAGGTTATAACCCTGGTGCAGTTGTATCCATTGTTGCCTGGGCTAGGCTGGCCAGGCTTTTCCACCCTCACATGGTGCTCCCTGGGGTAGCGTTCACCCTTTCCAGGATGGTTTTGCGCTGCAGGTGATTCACAGTTATGCTGTGATGGACTGTCCCAGTCTGCTTTTTCTCTTGGTTATTTCCAGCTAGACATTTTCCAGATAATAAAAGAAATCCTAATGATTAGCCCCAAGGAACATCATGATTCACTGGGTATCCCTGAATGTCGTTAGCATCTTCCCTGTAACCCCTGTCTCCTTTACACAGTTATTTACCTATTTCAGATTTTTTATACAAATTCTCCTTTATCCCTTTGAACAATTCTGTTAATGACATTTTACAAAGTAAATCAGATCTTCCCTATTCCTTTGAAATATTAATCAAATTTATCAATTTAATTAAATATTTGAATTGACAAACTTGATTAAAGTAGCCCATGAGATTAATGATATATTGAGCTAAATCCTTCTTTTCCTGCTTTCCATTTCCCTCCATGCCTGTCTTTTATTATTTCTCAGCATTTATTCTAGAGCCCTTTGTTCAGTGGAAGTGATCCTCATGGTCTAGTAGTTTTATTGCTCCCTTCTTAATCATAGGTGCTGTGCTTAATATTCTCACACAGTAACGTTCAGTAACATATGGCTGCACACTGAGTTGAATAGGAATAGTAAGATAAATCTTACTTTGTTTGTGGAGTGGTTTGGTATATATACATAAGACTAAAAAGCAGTTGTCCTTAAATATGTCATCTGCCTTAAATCACAATATATTACCTCAATATTTGGTGTTTCAATGTTTATAATTGTGTATGTATTTAACTTGTCAATTTGAGTTTCTTTCAATTTCTGTTTTAGCTGAAGTTGCAGAATGGTTTGATAGATGGTGATTCTGTAAATCCAGACTTTCAGTGCAACAGATTCTTTTTTTATTCTCTTCTCTCTAGGATGCTTCCAGCTCAGATGGTGGATTATTACAGTCCTGCAGGTCCTCCTCCTCCTCCTCCTCCCCCGATGATTCCCTCGGCACAAACTGCTTTCGTTAGTCCCCTCCAGCTCCCCGGGCCACCTTCCCACCCTGGACTGGTGCCTGGCTCCACATACACCGCTCCTCATCCTCCTCCTCCTGGCGGGCTTGTTGTCACAGCTCCTCCTCCCCCGGGCCCTCCTCCTCCTCCTCCAGGCCCCCCTGCTGCAGCTTCATCCCTCTCTTCCTCCCCACTGCACGTTGGTGCCGAGGGGAAGCGACACGAGCCCGCGCAGCCGCCGATCAGCGACGCACGGAGCGATCTCCTTGCTGCCATTCGTATGGGTAAGCACGTGGCGGGGTTGAGCAATGCCTTTTCTTCAGCGTAAGGACTGGGTTTTCCAGAGATCCTAGGCAGGATATTATTGTGAGAATTAGTTAACCACAGGTACCACACACATACTCTAATACGTGCTGCATTTCAGGGTAGCAACCCTTGTCAACCTTGACTTCAGACCTGTGTCTGAAGCCTCTTGATCCAAGATGTGGAGCTTTGCTAAATATACTTTATTTTAGTGTTTGTGTGAACATAAATGAGACAGTACTTAAGTTCATTATATGGGGTCCCCCTTAGAAGTACATGGATTTTTGGTTTCTTCAGAAAAACTGTGTTATCCAAAACCTGATTTCAGCCCTGTGGATGTAGCTTTGAAAGCCATTCTTAGTCAGGCACTAATGGTTGTCCCTGGCTCTAGTTATGTTCTTACAGTGTTTCCAGGCACAGTTTTAAAGTCCTTCTTCAAATCAAAGGAACTTGTACAGTCTTCACTGATTAACTATTTACCTATTTTATATTTTAACTATTGTTGGTAGTTTTAGAAGACTAGAAGCACTTAGTCCTCTTTTTGTCCGTTTCTCTTTACCACTCTTTGTTGGTCAGGAAGGCCAACTCACTGGCTTCTTCTTTTCTTCCTGGATATATTGCTTGAACCTAAGATTAACAATATGGAATGGCGTTTTTTTTGTACGGAGAACCTTGTCTGACTATAGCTGTCTCTACAGGAATTCAGCTCAAAAAGGTGCAGGAGCAACGCGAGCAAGAAGCGAAGCGCGAACCCGTAGGAAACGACGTGGCCACCATCCTGTCGCGGCGCATCGCCGTGGAGTACAGCGATTCCGACGACGACTCCGAGTTCGATGAGAACGACTGGTCAGACTGAAGGCCAGGGCGAGCGCGGCGGCAGCGCGTGAACACGCGGCTGCAGCCGTGACTTCTGAGCAAGGTGTAGAGCAGGACACAGGCACGCGTTAAGGCTAGTGGTGAAGCATTAAAGTGGAGTCGGGATCATTCGGAATGCTGTAGCTTAGCAACTCTGGTAAATAATGATGTGATTATGCTTGTGCAGATCGGAAACTTGTCTTACTTTCAGTATTGACCACATAATACTTAAGTGCCACTAAATGTAGCAAATCTTGTGCTGCATGCAAAATATGCTGCAGTTGTTGCACTGTTATGGAACCAGCATTGTATTCCTATAAGGTGTGAAGTTTTTTTTTTTTTTTACTTTGCATCTTATTCATTAAATTTTGCGAGCAACTTAGGTTACTTGTGAAGTGGTCTGGTTGTTAGTCTTTGAGGAGAGTTAACTATATGACTGAAGTATTGAGATTCATAAATACATGATTTTTAGCTTTATTTTTTTAGATGTTAAGTATGCCCACCGTAAAATACAGTAGATAGCAACTAAATATTTAGTCTATTTTTAATCACATCTGGGCTTTTTAGCTTAGCTTAGTAAACAGGTTTGGATTTGTAGAATCTAACCTTTTCTTTTTACTTAAAAATGTAGCAGATGATGAAATGTATGAATCCACATGATTCCGTAGGGCTTGGTTTGTTTGTTTGAGCAAACTGGAAAAGTCTGCAGCAGTAACAGCTCTTGATTGCTGGCTGCTTATGGAGTAGAATCCTGGACGGTCTCAGGTAGGTAGCAAATACATGTCCACATTTCAAGTGAATGTTGAAATCCCTGTATAGCTTTTCAGTGTAGACCAGCTACTCTGCTTTTACTAAGGAAGGAAAACCCAGTCAGTGCAGTTCTAGCGGTCAGATACATTTCACAAGTATTAAACTTGGTTCTTGTTCCTGTAGGTATAAATGTTGTGAATAAGTTTTTGATTGATTTGTGTGTGTATAAAGTCATGAGAGATCATTTTCAGTTTCCTGTAGCACACTTACTCAAATTGCTGTTACTTTGAACATTTTTCTTTCCACTACCCTCCATTTATGTAACATTGACAGTTAAAACAGCCCGACGGCTATTTAGGTACAATGCCATACATGTGTGTATATGTATCTGTACACACACTCTTTTCTTTCTCTAGCAGAAGTTACTGCCATACAGTGTGCTTCTGCTCTCGTAGTTTTCTGCAGTGCTGTATTAAAATGTTCTTTTTTCTTCTTGACTGTGAGTCAGGCTGCTGCTTTGCCTAATGAGGCTTTTAAAAGTGTATTCATACGAGGGAGAAGAGTTCTTTCCTTGCCAGATCAGCATTTTAATCCTTGTAATAGAAGTCTGTGTAATTCCAGGTCTAACATTTGGTAAAGCTCCTTTGTTCTGTAAGGCCTGTCTGTTTTTTTAAAAATATATTAAATAATAAAAAAAGAAAGGAATGAAAGATCTAACCTCTCTTTACACAGGAAACAATTTTAGTCCTGACAATATAACCAGTCTAATGCAGTATTTGCATGCAAACTGTTGGCTACTTTATTGCTGTTGAATCTGCATATGTTATTTCGCTTTCTGACAGTTGTTTTTCTGGTAGTGTGGCAAAATGCTTACCTCAATGTTTGTGTTAAAGAGCTATCACATGAAGTGCAACCAATCTCTGCATAATGGTGAGCAACTGCAGCTCTCGTTAATGAGTGGCAGCTAAAGGTACTCATCTCCTTTTCAGTTTGATCTGCTTTTGTCTTTGCCTTAAAATGCAGAGCTAAATTCTGCTTTACTTTGTGCACTGGAATCTGAGATACGTGCATCTACAGCAAAGGACAGGACTTAGGTTATAGCTTGGTAATGGCTTTCAGTGATGTATGAGAGGTGCTTTGCTGTGGTCAGGATACACTCACACACTGGCTTCCAAAAGGATGTGTTGGGTAAGTCAGATAAAAGTGCAACTCAGATTGCAGTGTTGCATCGCTGCATAGGTAGGTGAGGAGAGTGCTCTCAGTGTCCTTTTGCTATATACTGAAATGAAATATCTCAGCAGAAAATTCTTTCCATCCTACTGAAATTTGATATGATAGAAGATATATTTTATGAACACAGAAGCCGAGTGTATCTGAAATTTTGTAATCTGCATTAATTTTAAATAATAAACATACAACAAGCGATGAGTTGTGACCCGCTAAGATAGTGTAGATTTTTCAGTCATAGTAGCCAATCTGTTTTTCTGAACCTGGATTGTTGTCATTTTCCTTTCAATATTTTATCAATAAAAATGTGAATTGAATTTAGTGATGTAAACTAACATTATTCTAGGCCATTTTATGAGTTTAATCTTACTTTGGGTTGTGAATAAGGAACAAATATGAATAAAACCTCACTTTTGAGTCTGTTTTTCTTTCCTTAGGTTAGTGAGATTTTGCCATTACTCTTTACCCCTTATTGGTAAATAAAAGAAATGAAGATGTAACACTTCCAGCTGTTAATCTGTGAGTCCAGGAAGTACTGTTTAACTGTGGCTTTGGTTGGAGTCTGCCTAACCAGACTTGTGTGGCTTCTCCTCTTAGCTTGCATACTCCTTTTTTCTTGTTTCTTTTGCAGCCTTGGTTGAGGGTTGACCTGTTGGAAAACAGCTCTGTGGAGAAGGACCTGGGAGTCCTGGGAGACAACAAGATGACCATGAGGCAGCAAGTTGCCCTTGTGGCCAAGAAGGCCAGTGGGATCTGGCTGTATCAGGAGGAGCGTTGCCAGCAGGTCGAGGGAGGGGATCCTGCCCCTCTGCTCAGCTCTGGTGAGGCCGCACCTGGAGTATTGGGTGCAGTTCTGGGCTCCCCAGGACAACAGGGACATGTTGCTACTGGAGAGAGTCCAGTGTAGGGCCACAAAGATGATTAGGGGACTGGAGCATCTATCCTATGAGGAGAGTCTGAGAGAACTGGGCCTGTTCAGCCTGGAGAAAAGAAGACTGAGAGGGAATCTTATCAATGTGTGTAAGTACCTAAAGGGAGAGTATCAAGAGGATGGGACCAGACTCTTCAGTGGTGGCCAGCAACAGGACAAGAGGCAACGGCCACAAACTGAAGCACAGGAAGTTTCATCTCCACATGAGGAAAAACTTCTTGACCGTGAGGGTGTCAGAGCCCTGGCGCAAGCTGAGCAGAGAGACTGTGGAGTCTCCTCCTCTGGGAGATACTCAGAACCCACCTAGACATGACCCTGTGCCACGTGCTCTAGGTGTCCCTGCTTGAGCAGGGGTTGGACTAGGTGATCTCTAGAGGTCTCTTCCAACCTCAGTCATTCTGTGATTGATTCAAACTCTGAAGTCAAAGTTTGTTGGTGTAAACAGGTATTAATTTCCCCACAAGTAGTTTTAAATTCTACCCAGTTCTTTCTGGGAGCAAAAATGTTGCATAATGTGTTTCACTGAAAAAGTATTTATCAGCTGTATTAGCAGATAAGCTCCCCCACCCTTTTAAGAAAGAGGTATTTGTGGATTAGTGACACTAAGAACTGAGTTCTGTAAAGCGTGAGCTCATGTCTGTGTGTTCACTACAAAATGGTTCAATTAAACTTATTTGCAAGACACAGTAAGAGCACCAAAGCCTAGGCTAAAACCTTGTGGCATCAGGAAGAACTTGCAAAACAGTTGTGAGATGCAGCAGCTAAGCTATAACCTAAACAGTTACCTACACACTTCAGACAAGCCTGGTTGTTCCCTGGGAAAACAAATTTATCCTTACTCAATTAAACTGAAAAATTGTGTCCTTCTGGCAGGCAGCTCTTATTTCACTGAAATTTTCCATCTGTGATTTGAATGTAACTCAGGTAATTTAGAACAAAGACACTGGTTCTAAATACAGGCTGAATAAATGAACTGGCAGGTTTTGTTCAAAGGCTGCTTTATAGTAAAGCAAGCTGGTCTTTTCTCTTTAGCAATGCAAATAAATGCTCGTTTATCATTTGGGCTTGGAGTTAGGATTGGGGATTATACTGAAGGGATCACTCACCATGCTATGTTTTACAGCTTTAACAGTTATTTTCTTGAACATTAAAGAATCTATTTCCATATGACTACACTGACATTGCAGTTGGATTTTAGGTGTTTCATTCCTCCTTACTAACTAAGATGAACTGAATGGTGAAGAAATAAATTTTATTGTAACAAGAGAAGTATGCTGTTCTGAACAACCTCAAAATTGAACTAGGTTTTGCATTTTGTAAATCAGGTCGAGGGGATGGGAAATTACCCTTCCTTGGGAATGTGTTCTTGTGATGCATTTTGCAGGGGTTATTTCTCTGTCGTGCCAGGCGCTGTGTGTTACTAATGAAAAGATCTTGTCTTCCACTTGACATTATGCAGCTAAGGTTATAATATGAAACTTACTTATAAAAATGTTTAAAGTATCACTATTAAGCTGCACTGAATATAAAATATAACAATGGAATTATAATTATACCGTATAGTTATTTACTATATATATAGTATAATTAATCTATAGTCTCAGGACTGGGAGCTAAAGTTATATAGATTGAGTCTTGAACTTGGATACTGTTTTCTAGCAGTGGAGTGAAATAAATATTAGAACAGCTTATCCAAAGATGTCTTTGATAGAGGCTTTTGAAGGTGACGTTGTAGTTCTTCCCCTTTAAAACAAGGGAACAAACAAGAGTTCAGCTTGGTCCAGTATACTTTGGGAAAAGCTTCCTGTCCTGTGGAGGGCAGCCAACCTGGCTACATTGCTAAATCCAAGTCAGAATTGCTAGGTACTCCTGGTACGTAAAAATGTAAGTACTTCTGGTGCCAGTGTGTGTTCATATGTCCTGCATGTGTGTACATGTACTGTGTACACGTATATACATACATATACATATACACACACATATATGTATAGAAGAGTGCACACAAGTCCAAGGATTTCAGCAGCTCGAGGCAGCCTTGTATTCATGTTCCTAAGCAGTGTCAGTGTGCTCAGTGATGTACGGGGAATGGAAAT